TGGGCTAATGCACAGATTTGATTAGGTTTTGGTTGAAATCCGTACATATTAATTAATTACCTGATTTGTATGATAATTAGCTAATTTTTTTTTCTGTTCCTTGAGTGTTCCACTGATATCTAAAGAGCCATTCATTAGATTTTGATGAAACTTGGTACATAAATGCTCTGGACTAATGCACAGATGTGATTAGTTTTTGGTAAAAATCCATGCATATAATTAACCTAATTTACGTAATGATTAGTCAATTTTCCGCTTTTCCACTGATATCTCAGGTGTCTCATCACATTTCAATGAAGCTTACATAGATGCATAGGACGATGCACAGACAGATATGTGAAATACTAATTACCAATTTTCATTTATTTCACTATTGTTTCACTATTACTTCATTACTTTTCAACTTGACTGTACTATTCGATTGAAATACTGTATCTTAATTTTTACATAGCTACAAATACAGCGATGAAATACAAGGTTGACAAAAGTACCAAATCATATGGTGAAGTGAGTGAAGAAAACTATCAGGCTGCCTTACAATCCATGGATGTACCACATAATATACCAAGACATTTAAGTGGTTAGTTTTTCTACCTTTTGATGAACTATTCCAAGCTTGATTGCAACATTATAGGTTTCTGTGGTCGGTTGAATTATATAGATTTTCTTCTGTCTAATGTTAACAATGAGGTGTAGTATTGACAAGTCATTGTAATTGTTGTGTTGTATATTGCTAGATACACCTGGTTTGCAGAGCGAGCTAATACATAAAACATTTCTTGAAGAATTGGTATTTTGGGCTGTCAAGTATGAATTTCCACAGAAGGTTGTAACTCTGTTACTCAATTTGCTTCCATATAACGATTATAAGGCAAGTACGACTCCCTATTCCTATGATTTAGGATTGCACACTTACCAGTCTTACCATATTTGCTCTATTAGCAGCGTGTGTGCTTATGTAAATTAATCAAAATAATAATTTAGTATACAGGCAATGCAATCTTTGGTTTATATGAGCTTCTTTTGGAGATGTGCTTCTAATAGAGCAAATACAGTACATTACTCCTCTGATAAATCTGTATTTAACAATAATTCTTGAAAGAATAAATTGTTTTTCAAATACATGTAATACAAATGTAGAAACTCAAGACTTAACACCTTTGGAGTTAATGATCCTAACTCTGTGTGACCAGCCATGCCATTATTGGCCATAGTTTGATATGGTTTTAACATTTTCACCACCAGACTTCTCGCCAAAATTTTTCTGCACCTTTTTTTGTATATTTCTCAATATTTCTGAAAATGAGCCCATATTTTAGAGCCAATAGACAAAACTTGAGTCAATTTTCTGTTTTCACTGAAAAATTTGGCTATTTTCATCCTATTCTTCCGAAGGAAAGTGCAGACTATAAACACAATTATTTTGTAAATTTGGAATGAAAAGAGTGAAAGGGTTAAAGTTGTCGATATTGTAATCTATCTCTGCATCAGCATTTCCTTAAAATTTATTCACTGTGCCTTCTCAGTATTGAAATAGTAAATGTGAATAATCATGACATTCAGACATGACGTTTATCTAGGATCATCCAAAGGCACCATGATAATATTTTTGATGAAAGATATGTGTATTTACTTTTTTTTTTTTTTTTAATTTTACCCTCTGAATATCGAACATTTATACCGGAGATCATAAAACAATACTGGCATAGTACACAGATTACTGTATTTCCAATTTTAGAACTATATGCTGAATCATTGATATTACCTTGACCATAGACATAATGCTGTCATTTATGTTTTAAAGTGCCTGTGAAATGGCTGCTATTTTCACGCCTAAAATTATCCATTGATACATAAATATTATTATTTTTTATGTTTCTAAGCATAAATAATTTTTTTTAAGTGAAAAAATATGTTTTAACTCAGTCTACGGAAACTTTATTTTTGTTTATTTTAAAACGAGCTCCTCATTAGCTTCTCATTTGCATACAGAAATTCCTCTTGTGACGTCAGAAGGGGAAGTCGCTGGGCAGCTTGCATTGCCGATACGTGTAAATAAGGCAAATTTCTTGTGCTGTTTTCTCGTCTTTGACTAAATTGCCACTTATGTACTTGTTTGTCGAGGAAGAATGAACCATAATGAACACATAGTATCAAGTTTGTTGCATGGGGTTGAGTCAGATGCAAAATATGTCCGGTCTGGTGTAGCTAGTCACCATGGTCGTCACCGTCACCGGAGCACGTTTGTACACTGTTGCTGGA